CAGAACTGTCATTAATTTTTGTATGAAATGCACAACGAACAGTGGGCAGCGCTGAATGAAGTTTGCAGTGTAGTGAATCGGCCTCTTTCATAGACCTTTCAAGCATTTCCCTGCATTCAGAATGGCCATATCTGGATATTCGCGCACCATTCTGTCTCAACAAAAATTGCTGAGACACACCATTTACTAACTACCTTCACGTATTCAAGATATACACAGAACACTTCAGGATATGTCTGCAACAGCATTAACAACGTAATAAGACAACGACAGTAGCCAGTTACATCCCTCCTCCCACGCACCTACTCAGATAAATTCCACCACCTAAAATACGACATGTATTATAATACATACGCAACCAACACTCCACCTATTTACCTATTTTATCGGTTTCGCCTATTTATGCGGGAGTTGAAGTAGCGTAGCAGGTATAGCGACTGGCTACGGACTGGATAACTGAGGAGTTGGGGTTCGAGTACCGGTAGGGTCAAGAACTTTCTCTCTCCACGTCATCAAGACCGGCTCTGGGACCCACTCAGCCTCCTATCTAATGGACACTGCAGGCTCTTTTCCCCGGGGGTAAAGCGGCCAGGGCGTGAAGTTGACCACTCATCTCCAACTAATACCGAGATCAAGAAAGTGTGGATCTATACATCCACTTCCCCATACGCTTTCATAGTGAGCGCTTAATTAGTTTAGCATAGGGACAGCTTTACCTTTATCTTACCTATTTATGTGATTTTAGCATCAAGAGTAAATATTCACATTTCATTTATGACAATTTGATCGTAAATTGAATCCATTTTCACTCAAAAATTCAACAGTGACGAGTATATACGAGTATACATAGTCATGTACCACCTGATGATGATCTAATATGATCGAAACTTCAAGTCGTTATACTAAATGAAAACACGTTTTAATATCACTTTTATTGTTAATTATTTTATTGGCGGCCACAGAGTACCTCGATGTATTTCCTTGCTGACCCGTGGTAAAGATGATCTCATGGGCGCCGCTGTTTCCGAACGAGTGCTCGGCTGGGTCACTGCTTCCCGTCGTCCCTTGTCACCACTGCCATTATCACAGTCTCGATAATTTTGGAAGCTTAAATTCACTTATCCCTTGATTTACTGTATCTGCTGCCGATTTTACTGTTAATAACACAGGGTCATGTAAATGCCAGTGCCTGTTGTAATAAATTGTATTATTACCGAACAAGTTAGCTAAAGTGGTAACTCTTCATAATTGTGTTCGGGGGATGCCTGATTCGCATTTCAGTCACAATAATGACTGTCCAAAGTGAGGATTTTCGTGGTGTTCGTCGGCCCCTCCTGTCAGAATTCCGTGACAATACCTAGAATTGAGCCACGTCCTTTCCGTTTCTTTACAATCCTATCATTCGCCTCTGTATAGTCCAAGTTACTGATAATGTCCTTGAATAGACTAAAAGCTACCAGTCCTAGCGTTCGGGTCTGTAAGCAACCATTTAAAGATCCGTGGTTCTATGTGCTCCTCCTGTTTTAACACTGAATCTCTGCATTCGTACCGCAGAGTGTGTTTGTACGTGTTGCATAGTTCTCACAATGTACATAGAATTTTTCCTTAAACAGCATTAACCGCTTAATATTTGCAGGGCAGAGGTAATGTGTTTCCTGTGAGGTACGAAATGGATAGATGTGACAGTCTGTGCGGTGTAAACTTGTGGTGCAATGTATGGCGTAAATTGCGTTCAGAAGTAGGTCTAGAGGCAGTGCGATCTTCATATATTCAGATTGTTCTCCTAACTCCTTACTCTCAAGTTCATTGCTTCTCTGCTTTTGCGTTCTCATACTTTATCGGAAAGTATGAGTAGTCGAGGTGTTAATGGTTCGTGTATATTTACCGGGCCCTGTAATTCAATGTTGCTTTACAGGAAGGTATGTTCTTTGTTATCAGTTTTGTCAATTTCCCGCACTGAAACAGCGACATTAGGAATGTGCTATGGGCTAGGTCCATATTTGTACAGATTAGGAGCAGCTGGCTGAAGTACGCTTGTCTATTCTTCGTCTCTATGTTCCTTTATTGTTGTCTCAATGCCGCAGCCTTAGAAAGTAGGATAATGGATGAATGCTGGATCAGGTTGAAAGGATTTTGGAGGGAAATCGGGGGTATTATCTCAGCTTTCGGATGAAAGGACCGAGGAAAACCACGAAAACCCCTCAACAGAAATTCACACCGAACTAAATAAAAGTCTAGGGCATTACTCGTAGACCTATTTCTTCAGCGTTTATTTTCTTAAATAAATTTGACCGAATTAATGAGAACGCTTGTTCACTACGAGAGCTTTATGAATGTATTCAGGATGACTAAAGAGAAGAGAGTTGTGTGAGATTTAAATTATCGCCGCTGTAACTAAGAATCATATCTTCTGGGATGTGCCGCCTTACAGACTGTCAGATGTTCACGGACGTTTCGCAGGAGCGTATTGTCTACATCTGCAAGGTCAAAGAGTAATCGATCCTGAAAATGGATGCAGTACGTTTCTCCGAAACATTGGTAAACATCTACCAGAGAACACGGTGTCACATCCGAGGGGATAGAGTTCTTTGTATTCACCTTCGAGAGAACATGAATTCTTGCGTTCAAATAATGTCTGAGAAAGAGATAGAGAGAAATGACGGAAGAGAGAGGAAGGAACAAGACAAGAAATGAAACAAACATTCGTTCTGCCGCGGCCTGCGGGATGTAGTCAAAGCTCGCTTGAAGGAAGTCTCTTACGGTGTTTGTGTATCTGAATGAGAGACTGTCACATTTCGGATAGCTTGTTCCTTGGCAAGCGTTTCTATGGAAACGGGACCGAAACATGTTTCGTGTCCCGATCGATAGCCACCACAATGCTAAGAAGGGGAGGGTAACAGCTGTTCAGACTCACTGTTTATAAGTGTCAAAAAGTCCGTTCGCCAGGAAGCGATTATGAGAACGTTACGCCGAACCCAGACATCCTGAAGTGAGTATGGAAGTGGAGACTTCACAGCATGGATACTGGCGTGCTTGGGATGCGCTAATCCAGCAGAACGCAGTTTTGTAGGATTGTGCTCATTTCCGGAAGTCCACTGTTCTTGCAAACCGCACGTGGTTCGCGAACTCATCGCGGTAAAAGTGCTACATACCCCAATTCTGAATATCACTGTGGTAGCCTTCAAAGTGCTCCCCCGAGAAGCTGTGCACCGATGCCAGCCCCCAGTCCATCCTTTAGAACAATTTTGGAACTGATTTTGTGGAATTGCCTCCAAAGCTGCCGTCGTATTATTCCTGATGGTATCAGTGTCATCAAAATGCCTTCCTTTCAATATTTCCTTTATCTTTTGGAACAGAAACAAGTAATTGGATACTTGATCCGGCGAATAGCAAGGGCGTTCCAGCACAGTTATGTTTTTACTAGCTAGAAACTCCCTCACACACAGTGCCGTATAAGCAGATCCCCTGAGCTCATTTTTGCACGCACCTTCCTCATGTCCAGATCCTCAGTTAAGATTTTCCTGTTTCTCTGTTGACGCTCGCTTCCTCTTGACAGCCGACGATTTTCACGCACAATTTGACCATCTTTTTCTGCTCGTTGCTGGCCGTCCTGATCTCTCTTCGTCAGTGATACACTCTCTTCCCTCAGAAAAACGTGTCACCCACTTGTAAACTGCTGTTTGCTTCATAGCATTAACCCCGTAAATTTACACTAACATCTCCACTTTCGCTTACACTGTTGCTATATTTAACAGGAAGCTCCAACATTCTCACGACGGCACAACCAAAACACACTCAGACGATAATAGACGCCACTCAGAAAGAGACCGTCATAGATCAACAACAACACAGCTGTGAAACACTGATATGCCAACATCATCAAACCATACTGAGGTTTCTGTCCTCTGCTGCCACGGCAAGCAAACAGTGGCGAATTCGCGAACTTTACTGTCAGACAATATACTTCCCGTCAGTGTCGATACCCTAGATATCCGTACGGTGTACGTCTCAATGCGTAATTTGAAATCAGCAAGATCATGTTTTTCTTCTGTGTATTGCCACGTAATTTCCCAATCTAGAGCACAGGTTCCCACAGTGGGCCGTACCNCCCCCGAGAGGCACTAAAAGGGCGGGGCGCTATAGGTGGGTCCTTGCGTGCGCGTTGTTCGTTTATTTATGACTGGAGTGACTTTAAACCAAACACTGGGAAACTGGTATCACTTCATGAAGCCCATCCATCACTACCAGTGAAGTATTTACTGAACGTGGTGCCTTATTTTATTGCTATTGTCGTTCTTGGTGGATTGTGCAAACCGCCATTTTGAAGAATAATTTTTATGGCTTAGGGCAGGAGGCACTGAGGATGAGTTTATGGAACCAAGGAGGCTGCGGCCCGAAAAAGTTTGGAAACTACTGAACTACAGCCTAAAGTCTCATGAAAATCATGGATATAAAATTAATTACAGTTTATAACTAATGTTAAAATGCAGGAGCCTTCATACCTCGACCTTCAATTTTACAGCGCTGCCCGATTCTCTAGAGATTATTTGGAGGAGTGTTTACGGGGCTCGAATTGATTATGACTCAACATTGTTCAGGACATTCTTTATCGGCTCTCATAACATTGTCCTTGCCTGGATGGGTTTCTGCATTTCATTTATCTTCCACAGTACAGCCCTCATCTTCGTCGAGCCATTTAACCTTTGGACAAATAAGGCACGCATATAGAGGGAGATGTAAGACAGCAATTTTGTGTTGTTAGGAATACCTGTAGTACACCGTAAGAATGTTGATTAAGGGGCTTTGAGCTTGTCATCAAAGTTCTAAAATACATGATGATTCGGAACCCAGCCAACTCAATACAGAATTCCTTCTCGGAGAACTGTGAGACTGAGATGCATAGCAATTTCAAACACCTGACACAGTATAACTGAGTAGAATTATACGCTTATTAAGTGGTAGCCTTGCTGTGATACTGATTAACAATTCATAATTTTCAGTGCTGTCCACGTGGGGCCGACGAATGGGGCGGAAGTTGGAGTCACTGCGCCGCGGGGACTCCAGAGAGTCCCTGAACGTCACTCCGTCTACGCCGCCCCCTCCTCCTCATCCGACAACAAGCAGCGGTGAAACCGTCCGCAAGAGGTCGCCATGGCGTATCGGCCGCAGTGCATCCGAGTCCCTCTCACCCCCGCCCTGCAGGAGTACTGCTATCAATGACACAGAGAGTACTCGAAGGAGGGCTCTCAGCGACGTCACAGAACATTCACCGTCACCTCTCAAGAGCTTCTTTATTAGGATGGGTTCTACCGGCATGCTGAATGGCTCCAAGCACCATACCCCTCCAAGCTGCAGTCCCAAGGAACGAGCTATGCCATATAACCCAGATCTCCCTGGGGGCAAAGTGCTTTTCAAGAGTTGCTCCACGTCTCAGCTGTCTACTTCTTACGTTAAGGGTGAGGACCCCGCTGACGGGTTGGACCTGTCCTTGCAGTGTTCAGAGAGCACAAGTGATATTCCCGCCGCTACTAGAGACGGGGGTGAAGTGTTAGCAGGTATAAAAAAGCGAGTGCCATCCGTTGAAGCTGATCCCAGTTACGTACCCACCAAAACTCGAAGCTGCGATAACATAGCAAGTTTGGGTACGAACACAACACAGCCTTCTACCGCACCATCTATCGGAGGAAACAGAAGAGCAAATTTTCCATATGCATTTTTGCGTTCTAAATTATCCGTCTTACCTGAAGAAAATGGAGGCAGCGTTGTTAATCAGCAGAGTCGAAGGAGGGTGTCGAATAAGGAAAGCTTCCCGGAACACCGGAGGTCCCTCATTGAGCAGAGCTCCGAACGAGCCTATAGGCTAAGAGCAAATTCCGAAGAATGTGTTCCTGCTGCATTGTTGGCCGAGGATAATTCGTCATTCCTTGAAGGTACAAATACGTTAGGCCGTAGACGGAAGGATAATCCAGATGTCAAGTCTATCAGACGATATAATTATTCTTTTCCACAGTCTTTCACCGCGGTACCTTACCAAAGTAGCATTGGTGAAGAATATCCGTTGGTACAAAAGTCAGGCCAACCGAGTTACTACGTCAGTTCGAACGAATCAGGTTATGATAGCGATGGCCCTCGGCATGGAGAAGAGTCCATATGCAAAGTGGGATCTAGCGAGAAATGTCTGAACACTACCTTAGACCAGGACGGAGACAGTGGGATAATTGCCAATGAAAGTTCGGACTCTGGATCAATACATGACTCCGAGCTCGGAAATAGCGAAAACGGGACTGGGAATGGTGGAAAGTGTCATAGCGAAATACTGGTAAGTGACCCCCCTCCACTGCCTCCACGCTCTTCAACACCGAATCTAGAAGGGCAGCAGCCGTTTTCGCTCCGGCGTGATAACTGGGCACGATCATCAAGCATCGCTGCCCTGCACACATCGTGCAGCAGTAAGGACGCGCGCACTGCAGAGATTCTCGCCAGTCTGGCTCCCTGGGAGAGAGAGAGAAGCGCACATCTTCAAGATGAAGCCACCAACACTCGCCGGTATCAGTTCCTGACGTCCCAGTTGGTGGCGGAAACCTCCACTTCTCCAGCGGAACACTCGGGCCAGGACACAGCACACAGAAACTCCAGTGGAGCAGTTGAGCTGGGAAGTATTTCAACAAAAAGTACAGAAGTACAAAATGAAAGCCCTGAAGTAATTGATAACTACAGGAGACTTCCTGGGGCGTCCTCTCTGACGTCGTTACATGACCGACATAACAGAGACCTGTACAGAAGGCGGTTCATTCTTGTCAGAATTGCAAAGACGAAGGGAGCTGATCTTCTGGGTATACACCTAGTGCAACAAACACAACCCATCGACACTAACAGAAATCCATCCGCAGTCCGATTCTATATCTCGAAACTGGATCCTGAGAGTCTTGCAGCAAGGTATGATCTGACACTGTCCTGTCTTGTGTTATCTTCTGATGTATAGACTCTTATCGGGGAAGTAGCTTCACAGATCCTCGTTTCCTAGAGCAGATGGTGTGATTGGGTATTTTCGTGATCTTCTGTCCGCCCAGCTAACAGCCGGCGTAATAACTTTGAAAATTAACGATCACTTCCTTCTAGACCCTCACGACTTATATCCCACCCGACGGCTGTTCCGGAGAAATAGGCAACGTGGGCTTGTAGAAGGTTTTGTTTTCTGACCTTAACGCCGTGTAGTTCGTCGAAATTCAACAATCTAAATCTTAATTGGAAACCAGCAGGAAGCAGGCAGCAAACAGAGAAAATCTCGGTTGACGTTCAACGGACTACACAGCGTTAGTAACCACCAATATCTAAATTAAAATGCTACATATATGGGCTCCCAGAATTTATGAAGGTGAGGTACTATCATGTGGACAAGTGACCAGGTGTACACATCGCGACGTTTTTACGTCCGAGTTAAATTTTCTCCCTCCAGTTTCTTATGAGCTGAGATAGGACCCAGAGGCGCTCTGCACCTGCATCTGAAAGAATAATTGCAGTGTCCCTGACGGAGAGAGAGTGACTTAGATTTTATACGAAGCGCAGCCTGGGGCTCTCCTCCCGTCGCTTCGTAGGCGCGCGTTCCGGACGGATCACTGTTGCCCGTAGAACTTTCGCAGATCAAAAGACAAACCTAATGATTCTGTGGATTTACATATAATTCAAACTTCTGAGTCTGCGCATAAATGTGAGGCCAATTAAAATGTAACAAATGAACAGGGTGTGACGTATTTTTTATTACTCTGGGTCAGGATAGGATCCACTGGCGGGCTTTTGAAAATGCGGTAATAAATCTTCAAGTTAAAAAAAGGCTAGAAATTTTTTTTACTAACTCGGCGCTATGTGCTTCTCAAGAAGGATGGCTACTTGAAGTTAAACGTTTGTACTATTAATTACAATATTTCCATTTTCAGTAGGTTCCCTTACATTTAACATAAACCTCATATCGCTGCAAGTTTGCCCGAAGTTTTTTTCTTTTTACCTGTAATGGTCAGGCTATACTCGGTTTGAATTTTGGTAGGTGTGACTGGTAGGATATTTCCTTAGTTTTCAACAGACTCTCTTTTGCGAATGTACTCTCAAACAGGCCTTGATCATCTCCTCTTAAACCCTTATTCACACACCGTATTTTTTTTATTCCTAGTGGGGTGGGACTAAGTCTCTTGTGCTGCGGCCACTTCTGGCCTATTGTACCAGCCCCACATGATAGGTGAGGGTGATTGTGGAGCAATTGGTGGAATGAAGATTGGCAGGGGAAACCGAAGTACTCGGAGAAAACCTGTCCTAGCACCATTTTGTCCACCACAAATCCCACTTGACCCGGGATCGAGCCCGGGCCGCCGCGGTGGGAAGCCAGCGACTAACAGCTTGAGCTATTCACACACCCGTAACTCACATACTTGAAACGGCATCGTTTATAATGTTTACATTCAACTGATGTGGGAAGTTTTGACAACAATGTAGGAAACACAGGGGGTTCCTTTTTCCTCTCCGTGTTCCGACAGCCCTGGTTCCCGTGTGCCGCATTTTTGAACAGAGCAGGCTCAAAATGCAAAAAGTTTGCTAGGCAATGCAGGCTTGAAGCGCGTGCGCTTAAGTTGGCCATACTGAATGGGAGAAGTGATCGGCTATTCCACCCGAGTCCGTGCTAGCAAAAGCTTTCTGTACCTGATCCCGTCAGATGTCTCTACTTCAAGCAGGTTTTCATTTATCTCTCGATGTTGTCTGTGCATGGATATATTGCTCAGTTCAACATGTGAATCAAGTGACAAGGGTTACGTAGGCTGTAGGGTATATAGGCCTACTGTACTGTATATTCTTCTTCTATGGCGCAACAGCCCGATGTCGGGCCTTGGCCTCCCTTATCAAGCCCTTCCATTCCTCTCTGCCCTGCGCTGCTCTCTTCCTGTTCCTTACACCCATTCACTTCTTCGCATCTTCTTCCGCCCCATCAATCCATCTAGTTCTTGGTTTCCCTGCATGTCTCCTACCGCCCATTGTACCGCATAGTATTTTCTTTGGGATACGCTCCTTATCCATTCTCTGTACATGCCCAGCCCATTGCAGTCTTTTAGCTTTATCGTCACTGAGATCTCTAGCTCCTTATATAATTTGTATAACTCTTTATTATATCTTATTCTCCATATCCCATTCTCTTTTATTGGTCCATAAATTCGTCTTAGGATTTTCCTCTCGAAAGAATTGATGACTGATTCCTCTTTCTTGTTTAGCATCCAACATTCACACCCATAATAAAACACCGGTCTTGTCATTGTTTTATATATTTTTGTTTTAATCGCTCGGTGTATATCCTTTGATCTAAAAACTGATAGTAACGAGAAATATGCACTATTCGCTAGTTTTACTCTTCTTGTTATTTCATGATTTTCCTCTCCATCTTTATGGAATTTCGATCCTAAATATATGAAGTCTTCAGCTATTTCTATCCCGTCCCTTTCCATGTTAATTTTTCCAGTTTGCATCAGCATTTTAGTTTTATTTACTTCCACCTCTAAGCCAGTTGTTTTTGCTTATATGTCTCCTTCATTGCTCCTAGGGATCTCGATACTATAATAATATCATCCGCATACGCCATTATTTGCCTTTGTTTATACGCTACTGTGTTCCTTGTGTCTACATTACATTTCCTCACTATATATTCCAATACCAAACTAAATAGTGATGGTGCCAAACTGTCTCCCTGTTTTAATCCTTGATTTGTCTTAAAGCATTCTGTTAACTGGTTCTGGATTTTAACTTGATTGATTGTTTCTGTCATGGTTAAGTTAATTATTCTACTTAGTTTTATTCGAATACCAGAAGTGGACATAATCATCCTTAATTTCTTCCTTATTATTGTATCTTATGCTTGTTTAAAATCTATGAAGCATAGGTAAATATCTGTATTAAATTCCCAGCATTTCTCCGTTATTTGTCTTAGGGTGAATAAACTGTCTATAGTTGACCTATTGGGTCGAAATCCTGATTGTTATTCTATTATTTTTTTCTATATATGGATCCAGTCTCTTTTTTAATATCCTTGTTAAAATTTTATATGCTGTCGGTAGTAATGATATACCTCTATAGTTACTACATGTTAGTTTATCCCCTTTTTTAAATATGGGACATCTTCTGGTATCTTTTCTTCTTCCCACACTTTATGTATAATTCTGTGGAGTGCTATTATTCCTTCTTGTCCTCCTGCCTTCAAGACTTCTGCTGGTATGTTATCTCCACCTGGTGCTTTATTTAGTTTTTGTTCCTTTACTGCTTCTTCCACTTCTTCCTTTGTTGGGGACTCTAGTATCTCTTCCTCTTCCCCTTCTCGTTCGTCTGTATTTTCTTCTTCATTGTCCTCGTTATCTTCCAAATTCTGATTTTGATTTAATAATTGTTCAAAATATTCTTTCCATGTATTCATAATCTCTGTTTTATTATTTATTAGAACAACATTTTTGTCGCGGATAAATTCTGTTTTGGTTTGAAACCTTCCTACATATATTTGATTGGACCAAAAGCATTTTCTGTTTTGTTATTTTTGAAGTCTTCTTCAATTTGCAGTAATTGTTCATTTAGGAAGGCCCGTTTCTTTTTCCTGCAAATCTTGTCTGCTTTCCTTCTTCTTTATACGCCTCATTTCTTGCTCTTGTTGGTCTTCCCATATATTTCTTATTCTTGAGGTTTATACTGTCCCTACATTCCTCGTCGAACGATTCGCTATTATCCTGTTTTCTCTTGATATCCCAGAGTCCTCTCAGCTTCTGTAATTATTGCGGTTTTAAAATCTACCCATATTCCTTCTACCGTTACTTCTTTATTTGCTCTATTGTCATTAATTTCTTTAATTTTATTTTGAAATGCTTCTCTCTTATCACTCTCCGTAATCTTGTCAGTATTAAATTTCCTGTACTAAGTAATGATCACTATCACAGTTGGCCCCTCTTAATGTTCTTACGTCCAGGATATTCGTCACAAATCGCTTCTCTATGAGGACATGATCTATTTGATTGAAGGTTACCCCATCCGGTGCTGCCCATGTTCTTGTATGTATATTTTTGTGCGGGAAGTATGTAGAGCTGATGATCAGGTTCTTACTTTCTGCAAAATCTATTAATTTTATTCCATTATGGTTCGTTGTATCATGTAAACTTTCTGTCCCAATTACTCCTCTGTATTCATTCTCTTTACTTATTTTGGCGTCAAGATCCCCCAAAATAACCTTTATCTCATTACTTGGTATTGAATCATATGTCTTCCATTTATTGATAGAAATAGTCTTTGAATTCCTCTTCTTTTCCTTCTGTAGGTGCGTGCACGTTCATCAACGTCATATTGAAAAATTTCGTTCTAATTCTCAAAGTGCAAATTCTTTCACTTATTGGTTTAAAGACTATTATTGCGCTTTTAAATTCTCGTTCTATTACAAAGACTACACCAAATTCCTTATTGCCTTCTGCTTTGCCACTGTAACATACGGCGTGTTTCTTTAAGTCCACGAGTCTTTACCCAGCCATCTAATTTCCTGTATGGCTGTGATTTTCATATTGTACTTATCTATCTGTTCTAGTACCGATTTCATGGCACTCAGTTTATTGAGGGTTTTCACATTCCATGTACCTAGAGAGTAGTCCATATTCTTTGCCAGTTGTCGTCTTCCATTCTGTTGAGGTCTCAGAGGCTTGATTCCAGGTTTCGAGACATTTATATGTTTTTACGGTGAGAGGTCGTCGGCAGCCTCTCGCCCAACCCCCAACCTGGAGGACCAGGGTATCTCTTTTAGTCTGGGTCATCCCCTTTGACCTGTCCGGCATTGGTGGCCCTACCAGTAGCTATGCTACCGCCGACATAGTACTATTTGCTTTCACCCCACCCTTCTTTCCTCCCTGTATCATCATCATCATCATCATCATCAGTAA